CCTTAGGGGTGGTTGCCAGGATTTGCACCAGGCGTTTCGTTGTCCAGGAGTGACCCCTAAGATACCCTGAAATTTTCAGACCTCTAGATCATCTCCTTCCTCTTACACGGACGACGGACGGACGGACGGACACGAGAGCGGTTGCATAAGCCCGCTTTAATGCTTTTTTAAAAGCAGAAGGGCGGTCTAAAAAAGTATGCATCGACGGTGGAAAGCCTAGGCACTGGGGACACCTAGGTACTGTTCTAAAGGATACATTAAGTGAATTTAGTGGTTTAAGAGGGTACAGCCCAGTTCTAACGAGTAAATTTCGAAAACATTATCTTCGATATCGATTCGACGTTGATGCGAGGTAGGCCTTCCCGAGGGGGCACCAACTCCGAAATTTCGTGCTCTGTGAATACACTCTCATAGTGAATATCACTGAATAATCACTGAATATCGCCTAAATACTGAAGGTATTAATTCCCTCGTGAACCGTGAAAACAAGAAGTCACTGCCCCCTCGGGCCTTCCCTCGGCGATACTGTTAGCTCTCGCGGATGAATTGTCTCGCACGAACAACTATATCGTGGAGGCTGTCCCAGTCGGGCGCGGGAGTCATGAGTCACAGACTTGAACTCCTTTCAAGATTTTTGCTAGTGTTATCCATTAGGTAACCTAGACCTCTACCAAGATATCAGTATCATTGAAATGTCACCATTTGACCGTGATCGAAATAACATCAATGTTCGATGTCGAGCACATGTTGAACAAAATAACGTCGTTTCGACATTTGATATCCATAACATTTCGATCAACATAATCGACGTCGATTCGACAACGTTCGATCATTCATTTCTCACTGGGATGTCACCGGTGCGTCGGTAAACAAGCAATGACTGTAAAATTAAAATAAAGCTATTGGGAAAGTGTACAATTATAAACGGTTCAGAGGAACTTTTAACACGTCTCGAATTGACATTTTCATAATATGACGACGATGTTTTAGAGGCATTCCGATTTCCAAGTAAAGCCCCTTAAAGTAGTGTGAGGTTATGATCCTAGTATGAGTTGATCCTACAAAAATTTGTAATGGCGATTTATGTGAATTTATATTAGTATGGTCTTGGACCTAGCA